AACTCAGACAAACAAACTGATCGGTTGCTAGGGTGATCAATGTACAATATTAAACACATTTTCACCATTAATACTCATGGACTAAACAAGACTCACTCCCTCACTCCAACACACTCCCTCACTCCAACACACTCACCTCCCTCACACCAACACACTCACCTCCCTCACACCAACACACGGTCATACTCTAAGGGCTATAACAGGTAGTAAGGAACCACACTTGTGTATTTAATTTAATACTACATCTTTTGTGACATGACTGGCAAGGTGAAGTGTTCTTGGCTTGTGTTATGGGGGGGAGGGAGGAGAGGGAATCACTGTCAACGTTTTATTTACTTTATACTTTTATCCTCTCTCTCTCTCTCTCTCTCTCTCTCTCTCTCTCTCTCTCTCATACACCCCTATACCCCCCTTAACAACCCCTCCACCCCCACCCACAACACCCCCCACCAACAAACCCTCCACCACCACCAACAACACACACCTCCACCCCCACCTTACCCCTCCCTGCCCCTCCCACCCCCACCAACACCCTCCCCCCCCCACCCCTCACCCCACCCCCCACCCCCCTCCCACCCCCTCACCCCTCCACCCCCACCAACACCCCTCCACACACATTCAGTTATAATGAGTGTTTTACATCCTGTTGCGTGTAGACAGAAGCCTTGACGGGGGAGAAAGGGCAAGATTGAAGGGGAAGGTATCAGTAATTTGCCCTTTTTGTGCTCTTATTGCCCTTGGGTTAGGGTGTTAAGGGTGTATGAAGGTTCCTCCAGCCCTGATCAGGAGAGAGAGAGAGAGAGAGAGAGAGAGAGAGAGACTCTGACTTTATTGTGTGTGTTTTTGTATTGTCTTACACCCTGTCCAATATCTCTCTCTCTCTCTCTCTCTCTCTCTCTCTCTCTCTCTCTCACACACACACACACACACAGTTTTGAAATATTCATCACGGTAGAGCGAGAGAAAGGCGTTTTTATGCTCGTGTGTGTGTGTGTGTCTGTCTGTCTGTCTGTCTGTCTGTCTGTCTGTCTGTCTGTCTGTGTCATAGATAAGAACGAAGGGACAGAAAGAAGAGAGATAAAGAGGAACAAGAGAATAGAAAGGAGACAAAATAACAATGTTTCAGCGAGGGAAGGAAAAAGATGATGATGTATACAAGGAATACAACAGGGGGAGAGGGGTGAGGGGGAGGGGAGGGGAGGGGTGAGGGGAGAGGGGTGAGGGAGAGGGCTGGAGGGGTGAGGGGAGGCTGAGTGGGGGGAGTAGGTACCATGAGCGACTAATTAACCTACAGCTGGACCTGTGTACAGGTAAGATAGGGAGGGAGGAGAGGGGTCTATGGAGATGAGGGAAGGAGGGGGTGAGAGGAGGAAGGGCAGTGTGTAGGTGAGAGGAGGAGGAGCATCTGCAAGAGGTGACGGTGTGCCTGCCTCCCTCCCTCCCTCCCCCTCCCTCCCTCCTCCCCCTCCTTCCCTTCCCTCCTCCCTCCCTCCTCCCCCCCTGAGACTGACCAAGCTGGTTTCATCACCCCCTTTTCCACCCCCACCTTTTCAATCCTCACACACCTGATGCACCTTCACGGGTACACACCTACACCTCCCACACCTGCTCAGATACACCACACACTTACACCTCCCACACCTGCTCAGATACGCACTTACACCTCCCACATCTGCTCAGATACGCACTTACACCTCCCACACCTGCTCAGATACACACTTACACCTCCCACACCTGCTCAGATACACAATTACACCTCCCACACCTGCTCAGATACACAATTACACCTCCCACACCTGCTCAGGTAGAAATTTTGAAGCCTCCAAAATCAGATATTTCTAAATCTCTTAAAAAAGGCGTCATCAAATTTCAGAAACTCTAAATTAAACCAAAAAAATGTAATTAAATAAGAAGATGAAGAAGAACGATACTAATTAAGGCCCAGAAGAGAGAGAGAGAGAGAGAGAGAGAGAGAGAGAGAGAGAGAGAGAGAGAGAGAGAGAGAGAGAGAGAGAGAGAGAGAGAGAGATGAGGAAGAAAGGAAAAACATAGAAAACAAGAGGAAGGAAATGAAGATGATGAGAAAAATAGTAAAGGAAGGAAATAAGATTAAGGAAGAGAGAGAAGGAAGTAATTGTGGTAGACGATGTTAGATGTCATTCACCCCTCTCACGCACTGCCCTCTCCTCCCACCTCCCCATTCTCTATCCTCCCCTCTCACTTCCTCACATGCTCTTTCATTCCTTTCACTCTATGTTTTCTCCCTTCTCACCCCACTCACTCTTTCTCCCACCTCTTTCTTCCTTCTCACTTCCAACTTTCCCTCCCTCTTTCCTCTCTTTGCTTACCTCTCTCACTTCCTACCTTTCACTCTCCAGAATCTCACAAGGTCTCTAGGTATTATAAAAAGAATAAAAGGTAAAAACCATCGCTAATTCATGACACGCTATCCCGGTCTTGTCCTTGATTATTTAAGCTCCTCTCCACCACCACCACTACTACTACCACTACCCCTTCACCACCACCTATCTCAGGAAGAGGAACAGTAGTGTATGAGTAAGGGAGGTGAATGAATCCCCCTCCCCCATCCAAGTCCCATTACCTCCTAATATGGATAATGTCAACAAACATGGGTGTTGGTAGAATGATCTTGAAAGGTTCGCACCAAATCCTCGTCCTGTGCGCCATATCCCGCTAGTGTCGTCCTCCGTGACCTGCGACATGTGTACAGTACCTTCTCCCTCCCCCTCCTCGCTATAGGCCAGGGTTGTGTGGCTGTGAGGTGCAAATTATGAGACTGCGGAGAAGATAACGTGTGAGTGTGATATTCTGTGTCTGATGAGGGAATGTAATATATCTGTAATAGTCGACTTCCTGGCCATGAGAAAAAATTACGTGAGAAACTGGAGAAATAATGTCGACAGCTTTCCTCCCTCTTACACGAAGACAAAACTAACTAATAAAATAAGATTCATTCATCACGAGTAAGTAATAAAAAAACCCAGCTGATATAGAGCTTACATAAGTTGTTTACATATGACGTCATGCAAGAGTGAACACCCTCCACACATTTCCCAGTACTTGGTCCAGTTAAAGAAGATAAATAAATAGATAATATTCCCCGAAGTCGTCTTAAAGTTCACATTAACTCGGTAGGTATACATAACACAATGTAGTTAAAATCAGCAAGTCGACTCATCCAAGGATAAACCAAGAATGTCATATATCTATAGTATATTATTGAACGGGAGTTGGATATGACTGCGGAGATGATTTACTGTATAGAATAATAGATGATAGAAAGTACACTGTGGTGGTGGTGTGGTGGTGATAGTGGTTATAATGATGATAGTGGTTATGATGATAGTGGTTATGATGATAGTGGTTATGATGGGGGTGGTAGTGTTTGTTTTGTTGATAGTGGTGGTCATGGTGGTGGTACACAGCTAGGCAGGAGTGTACGCAGCTAGGTAGGAGTGTACACAGCTAGGTAGGAGTGTACGCAGCTAGGTAGGAGTGTACACAGCTAGGCCAGGGTGTTCACATACCTACAGAGCCGCGGGCATGAGCGAGTTGGCGCCGCTGTGTCGGGCCGTTCATTAGGTGGTTGTGGAGAGGCAAGTCCAGCCCTCCACCCTCACGCAGCCTTCCACCCACACCCAAGCTTCCACCCACACCCAATCCTCCACACTCACGCAACCCTCGGACCCTCCACCTACATCCATCCCTCTACCTACATCCATCCTTCCACCCACACCCATCCCTCCACCCACACCTATCCCTCCACCCACACCCATCCCTCCACCCACACCCATCCCTCCACCCACACCCATCCCTCCACCCACCCACCCTCCACCCACACCCAACCTTCCACTTATACGCAGTCTTCCACCCACACTTTTCCAATTAATCCAATGTCATCCACCCACACGCCATTCTCACCCAAATTACACCCAGTCCCATCCACTCCATCCACGTCCCTCACTCCGCCCACACCCTCCTCCCTCTCTCCCCCGCCCACACCCTCCCCTCCCTCCCCCACCCACAGTTCCCCAAACATACTATAAGCTTAGCTAGTTTGTAGCAAGTGGTCAGCCCGCCTCTTTCTGCCTCCTCCTAAATTTCTCTAATAATCAATTTCCAAACTATTGACCCTCTCTTCCACCTCTAATCTTCACCCCTTCTTTCTCTACCCTCCCCTAAAAAATAAACTTGGGGCAACTCACCAGGCCTACACAGAGCTACCTCATACCTATGCCGTGGTTCCATGGGGAGGCGACGTTGCATTACTATACTAGGAGGATAGCCGCCGCCCGTTGACTAGACCACCCATCTATCATGCGTCCGTCCGTGAAAAAAAAAAGATGTTCTCGGTACCGTTTTAGTGGATTATTTTAAACAGCTGAAGACAGGGTCGTGTAAAAGAATATTGATAAGAAAATTAAACGAACATAATGTCCCTCTTTCTTCTGATAAGTTAAATTTACGTAAAATGAGAAAACACTGAAAACATTGTGAGTGAAGCGACGTGAAAATCGCCACATCTTACTGTTTTTGTCCATGTATTGTCGTATGTCTGATTAGTTTCCTCTACAGTACTTCAAGCGACATTTTCTTTGATTATGAATTTTGTCTTAGTTTGTCTCTGATAGATAGATAGTTTAGCAGTTTCGTGAATACATTATTTTCATAGTATTTTGAGCTTTATTATTATTATTATTATTATTATTATTATTATTACTACTATTATTATTATACTGTTATTTTGTCATTATTTATTTATTTACTGTTATAAGTATGATGATGTAATAACCGTAATGTTACAATGATTATATTATTAATGCTTTTAATGGTAATGGTAATAATAATAATTGAGGAATTTGTGTAATAGGGGCAATAGTTGTATAAGGTTGTAATAGGGGCAATAGGTATGCAAGGGTGTAATAGGTATTTTGTCGGTGTAATAATTGTGTAATAATAAATGTGTTTTCGTATTTCAGCGTGGCGAAGGTGTGGCTCTAGACAGAACAGAGCAGAATGGTCTACTGGTGCGGATGTTAGGTGAGTCACTCTGCCTTATGATCCCCCCCCTCCTCCCTCCCTCACTCACTCACTCACTCAAACTCCTTCATTCACTCACACTCCCTCATCCACTCACTCACACACTCATTCTATCTCCCTCTCTCTTTCAAGCTCTCGTGGATTCTTATCTTTCTCACTCTTCCTCTCTTCTTCCTTCCTTCCTTCCTTCTCTCTCTCTCTCTCTCTCTCTCTCTCTCTCTCTCTCAAGCTCTCGTGGACTATCTTTCACCCTTCCTTCCTTCTCTCTCTTTCATGCTCTAGTGAACTCTATCTCTCTCACCCTTCCTCCCTTCCTTCCTCCCTTCACGAAAAAATATAACCCTGTCAACTAATCATACACAAATAATTCTTATATATTTTATTTATTATATAATAAATCTCATTTCATATGTTTTTCACCCATATGGAAGTACTTTTGAAATATATTTGTGAAGTAAGAAACAAAAAAGAGACGATTTTGTATATTTCGCCTGTTATTAAGACAATTTTATCGAGAATAATAATTAATAGAATTTTCGTCGTTCTTATTGATGTAGAATTGGAATTTAATAGTGTGTCAAGTCCTTGTATGGTTGTAGTATGAAGCTGAGGGAAAAAATAACTATCTTGCGTTTCTTACAATACACTAAACTACTGGATAGGTTTCAAGTCCTCCTTACAAGATGATATACGGCTTTTTTTAATCTTTAAATGTATGAAATTGTATTTATTTTTTATTTGTACTGTTCACTATTATAGATGTTAGTTTATACACCAGGAAACAATTATATATTTAAAAGAACCCCCCCCCCCAAAAAAAAATATGGTCATTCTTTTTCATTTTTAGCTCCCGTTTTCTCTTACAAAGTGAGATGGATAACTTGTGTATTTTATAGTAGTTTATACACCGGCTAAATTGCTTTCACGCGTTTAGTGCCTTCAATGGGAGGGTATTTAGTATAGCAGAAAGGGATAAAGAGAATGAATGGCGCCTGTTATGACAGTTTCAGCAGGTGATACATCATTATTTTTGCCGGAGTGGTCTTAATTTTTTTTTTTTCATTCTTTTATCTTTTGGGATCGTGAGAGATTGAATGATGTGTTTGAGAACGAACTGCTGGTGTGTATCTTGAGGCTTTGATCTCGAGGAGTGGTTTCTGTGATGTGTGTTTATGTAGAAAGGGGAGGGAAGGAGGTGGATATGAGGAGGAACAAGGGGAAGGTAGGAGCGAAGAAACAGTGGGGGGGTGGCGAGTATATTTAAATATCAAAGACCACAGTTCCCACAAGTATTTCCGTATTGTTTTATGTTATTAAATATACCGTAGAGCTCATATAGGTACAATACAGTATTTATTTTCAATTATATATTTACTTATTCTAGTAAAGTCAGTATTGTTTGTATTATGGTAAGATAATTTTAACACTGTTCTTATAAATTCTCAGTATAGTAAAGTCTTGTGTGGTGGTGATGGTGTTTGCCTCCTACGCTCTTAAGAGATCAATTTGCATAATTTGTCACGCTTCTGAGCGCTATGTTACACCCGAGGATTATTGAGTTTAATAAGAATATTCGAACAAGAGCCTTGTGTAGTTATGGATTCACTTTTATATTTACAGTATTCTGATTTTTTTAATTTCTTAGGAGATTATTTTTTTTTCTTATTTCAAAAATGTCTGTGACTTCCTCTTGCCTCCCAGTGTGTGTGTGTGTGTGTGTGTGTGTGTGTGTGTGTGTGTGTGTGTGTGTGTGTGTGTGTGTGTGTGTGTGTGTGTGTGTGTGTGTGTGTGTGGCAATTCAGAGAGAAAAAGTAGAAGAGTTATTACATATTGCAAGAAGTTTTAAGCTATTCTAATCCTTTTTTATAGAGAAACGTCATGTAAACTTTGTGCTGATCCACTTAGCAGCGCTACAGAAGTCATATCCAATTTTAACATTATTTTATATACTTATTATTTAAGATTTAAACATAAGAACAAGTATTGGTCTTTATACATTTGTTTTGGATCACTTGAAGATTAACCTCTCATGTTATTTCAGCAGATGATTAAGCACCCTAAGTCTTCTTTTAGGAGGGGGGGGGGGAGATAGGTGTTCAGTTAGGTCAGGTTAGCGTAAGGATGGTTAATCTTAAGGTGAAATATACTGGGTGATCAAATCTTCAAGAGATTATATACTTTAGTGTCTTGTCTTGAAGCTGTAGGTACAATGCAGTCAGGGAAAGATGCTTCTATACCCCGTATGGTCCCCAGTCAGGATGTGGGGGAGGTATTCGACTTGTGTGTCATGGATCGCGCTTCGAGTCATCCATTGCAACCGTACATGGATATAGATTCATGCATGGCGCGTATCTTGGCTAGGGGATATAGAAGCACATTTTCCTTGCTGTACATAAGTGTAAATCACAGGGTTAGGTGGTTTAAATTATGGTTTAAATACAAATATTTTTTAACAATTAATTAAAATCACTTTGGTTTTTGTATGTTAAATGTAAAAGGAAATAAAAATTAAATAATTGCTTATGTAGTGAATTGTTATAAACTAATTAGCCAAAGAAACAAAGTATACTATGCCTATATCACAGTAGCCTACATAATAAAACACAAAAAAATACAATAATTGTTTTGTAACTGAAAAAAAAAAACAAGTTTAAGACAAGTGAGATCACTGTTTACCTGACATGTATTATTGTACTGTACTGTAGGGGCTGTAGTTTACTGTAGGGGCTGTAGTGTACTGTAGGGGCTGTAGTTTACTGTAGGGGCTGTAGTTTACTGTAGGGGCTGTAGTTTACTGTAGGGGCTGTGGGCTGTAGGGTTTACTGTAGGGGCTGTAGTGTAGCTGTAGGCTGTAGTGTAAATGTGTAGGGGCTGTGTGTACTGTAGGGCTGTAGGCTTGGTAGGGGCTGTAGGTGTACTCGGTAGGGGCTGTAGTTTACTGTTTTAGGCACCAGAGTAATGTAGTTTACTGTAGGGGCTGTAGTTTACTGTAGGGGCTGTAGTGTACTGTAGGGGCTGTAGTTTACTGTAGGGGCTGTAGTTTACTGTAGGGGCTGTAGTTTACTGTAGGGGCTGTAGTTTACTGTAGGGGCTGTAGTTAAATATTAAAGGTACTGATAACTTGTTTTAGGTTTACTTCAGTTATAAAACAAAAAAATCAACTAAATCACAGCACTTTGGGATACATCATGATATTTAGTATTTATAAAATACACTAATCAAATTCTCTCATCTCTTAAACCTTTGCTACATCACGCATTACAAACACCAAGTTCTGATTTAATTAAGCATCTTCGTAACCATGACCAGAGTCTGCATTCAGAGACATAAAAAGAAAGACAAGTCTGGCTGCTTATTCTGTGAACGGCTCCATCGCTTCAATGAACACGTCCATCAGAGAAGACTGGGAACAGTAATTTGTCAACCAGGGAAAAGATCTGATTTTATTTTTGTTTTCAAATATGATTGAAATGCGAAAATCCTATTTATATCAAATAAACCAGATTGTTTTACTTAAAAAAATCAACAACCCTGGTGCCGAATCAACGCCTCCAGTGAGTTAGTGTGTTAGGTCTTCACCATATCACTCGAGGTAGGTGAGTGTTGGAAGAAGGTAAATCTAGTAATCCAAGATGTGCTGCAAAAAATATGAGACCGATTTTACAACAAAGAACAAAATCTGGGACGTTTAAACACTCCAAAACCGAGATAGAAGTTTATATTTCTTTTGTAATTAATATTTTATGCGCCGTCTTACTTTTGCAATTGTTTTAATATAGAATACGCGTTGTCAAAACAAAACAAGAATATAATAGTTTGGGATGAGACGATACAAAGAAAACGTCACTGTTCCTTCCTGTCTCGACTCCTTGTTATGTAAATGGTGTATAATAGACGTTGTCCTTGGGAATCTCATCTCCGTGGCTTCCCCTCTTGTTTCCTTCCTTGAACACTCCTTCCCTAGTTTCCCTTTCCTAAATTCTTCCTCTCTACGTCTGTTTCCTTTCCTATCATCTCCAGTTCCCCTTCTCCTCCTCTCCTCAAGTCCTCCTCTTCCTCCTTTATCGTCCTTCTTTCCAACCTTACTTACCTTTCCAGCTCTCCACTCCTTCCTCCTCCTCTTCTTCTTTCTCCTCCACCTTCACCATCCCTGCTCCATCGACTCCCACTTACCCCTCCTGCCCCCTCCTCGCCGTCACCCCCCTCCCTCCTCCAACAGGTCACGAGAAAGACGGTACTCTGAGACTTTCACCGCCGTGTAGGTGGAAGCGACCAAGGAGCGTCGGGGCGTAACGGAAGGGTACACACTACTCTCCTCTGTTCGTACACACCCATCAACACGTGTTATTCTCTGCAAGACTCAGGGGCGGATCCAGGAATATCAAAGGGGTCCAAGATGTTGTGGGTAGGGGAACATGGCGAGCCCACCCTGCTGAGGGGTTTTAAATCTGGCTAATATCATGGGCATTTTGAGGTCATTTTGAAGCCATGTGCACTTGAGGTTAGGAGATATCCTGAGGTCAATAGTAATTACTTTTTCCTATACAAAAAAAAAACGCGTGAGTGCCCCTGCAAGTGCGTCCCTATCATAATCTACCCCTTATTGTACGTGCGTGTCTATCATAACCAGCCTCTTTCATACACACGTTCCGAGCATAGAAAAAAAGGACAATAGAAGTGTTGTAATTAATGAGTAGCTCCCTCGGGTAGTGGGTCTTAAATCTGACAGGTAACGTAGACTGTGAGTATAATGACTGTAGGCTTTGGGAATTGTATACAAATTAACCAAGCTAAATATAGGTTTGGTTTGGTTAGACATAAGTTAGGTTATGCTTGGTTTGGCTAGTTTAGGTTAGGTAAGATTAGATCAGATTAGGTTAGGTATGATTTGGTTTGACTAGGTTCGATTAAATTAAATTAAGTTATGTTAGGTTTGATTAGACTACACACACACACACACACACACACACACACACACACACACACACACACACGACCAA